ACCGGCGAACCCAGGGCGTGATTGTGCTCGAGCCCATCCTTGACGTTGACAATGATAATGTCTGAGACCGTTTGTAGTGAGTCGAATTTCCCAACGTCCACGTATCCAACGCCAACCACCACCCTGCCATTGCTGTCGTGCGAGCACGGCATTCGGTCGAGAAAGAACGACTTTCTCCCGACCGTGGCACCGTTCACGCCGTTCAATTCTGCGACGACCGGCACGAGTGCGCAGTCCTTGGGCAGCCCGGGATAGTTTGGCGGGAGAGGAGGCGGCGAGGGGGGCAACGGCGCCAGCGGGGGCGAGGAAGGCGGGAAGAGAAGTTCGAGCGTCGACCCAGGCCAGACCGCGCCAGGTGGGGCCTCGAGGTCCACCTTGTACATTCCAGAGCCGTCAGCAGAGCTCGGCGGCATCCAGCGGACGGCTGTGATGGAGACGACGTGGTCTTGCTCGTTTGGGTAACTGATGACCGCCGGCATCCTCGGGTTCGGGTTCGCAATAAGCTCGCCGCTGTCGTCCACCAGGGCGCACGAGATGCCGGGTTCGGGTTCGACGAGCACAAAATATTGGTGCGGGTTCGCTTCAATTCCTTTTAGCGTCATCGGCTCTTCCGTGCAGGGCTCACTCACCTCCGAACAGTGCGCTTGTTGGACCAGGAGTGCAGGGGCGAGAAGCAGCAGCACTCTGGCAGAGGCAGGCATCTGCCGTGTCCGTCGCCGCAGCACTCTGGAGAGGCAGGCAGGCAGGCAGCACTGACGGGCAGTCCGTTCGGCCGTCGGCCCCTTCTTATATTAAATGAACTCGGGGGCACAGGACGCGGTACAAACGGGGTACACCAAAAGGCACAGGCTGCCTGCACGGCGTTCACTCGAACGCCATGCACATGGCGCGGAGCAGCATCGGGTTGGTGTCGAACCCGAGCGGGTCCTCCTCCCAGTCCCGGTGCCCACCCTCCGCGTCATCCTGCTCATCGTGCGCGTCGAGCACCCTGCCGAGGCACAGGACCGTCCCCTTGGGAACGCCTGCCCCTCGCGCGCGCGGGAACTCTCCCTGCACCGCCATCACGAACTTCTCGCGCGCCCACTTGCCGCCACGGCGGCAGTGCTGGGGCGCGCGCTCGCGCAGCTCCTCGTAGAGCTCCTCGGCCCTCGCCACCTCCGCCGCCCAGCCCTCCGCTGACGCCTGAGCCGCCTTCTTCTCCCTGAGCGTCTTGAACACCGGCGGCGGCGCCGGCGATGGCGCCACCTCCGGCTCGCCCGCCGCCTCTGCAGCGCGCCGCCCCTTCCTCGCCTTCTCCTTGAGCCGCTTCCTAGCGCTCTTGGTCAACGCCGGCGCCGCCGCCGCGGCCTCGCCGGCCGCCGCACCGGCGATGGATCGGCCCCTTCTTGCTCGGGATCATTGGGAATTGGGATTTGGGTCGATTACAGTGGGTTGCCGAGCGATTTCCGCAAAAATCTAAGAAACCACGGCGCGCCGCAGGCGCGGCCCCGAGAAAAGGCCAGAAACGAGTGTGAACGGGAGCCCCAGCTCAAAATTTCTCTTCGCCTGCGGCGCGCGCACTTGTCACTTTCCAAGTCTGCGGTGTTCTGAGTGGAGTGTGTGTCTCGCGCCTTGCGGGGGGGGAGCGGAAAGGAGGAACCTCTTCCCAAGAGCACCACTCTTGGAGCGCCGCCACTACCACCCAGAGCGCTGAGTGGATGGAGGCGTGTGTGCGTCTTCCCCCGTCATCCAGAGAGCCGACTCAGCGGCAGACTCTGGCATCGCCCTCGCGGACCGCAGCTTACAGCTTACCTCTTACTTACCTAAAAATCCTTCGCGCTTCGGGCCCGCCGGCTCTGCTGGCTTGAGTGCCGGCCGGAGCTAAGAAACCACGGCGCGGGGTGGATGAGGGCTGTGGAAAGGCTTAGAAACGGCGGCGTGCCGCGCAATCCTGTTTTCTTAATGCCCGCAACCCACTGTATCAGATCGAATTTGGGCGGAGGTAGCGCATTCGAATGCGCCCGCCGCGCCCTTAGACTGTTGGATGGCCACAGTCGCGAAAGTGGGTGAAGTCCGTGGGCGCCGTGGGGCCCGGGATTGTGCGTTTTTCAATGTACGTACTTATAGCTTACTGGGAGCGAAAAGAGAGAGGGGGTTGTGTTCTCTAGGCCCCTAAGGGCCCTACGCACGGCGTGAGAGCTCGGAAGCGAGCTTCAATGTATGTGGCTCTTACGTACATTCCCGGAGGAGGACTGCTGACAGGGTTTGCGATGAGGAGTGACCCGAAGGGTTTCTCGGGGTTAGTGCACCACTAACCGCCTCTGCAAGAGCACTACGCCTCAGTCAGCGGGCTCATACTAGCACCCACCTCGCGAGCCGACGTTCTGGCTCAACGAGGCTGCTGCTGGCACTCGGGGCCGACTTTCTGGCCCAGCGAGGCCGCTGCGGGGCACACGGCGGCACGGGTCACTCCTCAACACTAACCCCCGTCGAAGCAGGAAGTATGGGTGTGTGTGTAAAGGCGGCGCGGCACGGCAAGGGTCGGCGGTAAGGCGGCGCGGCGGCAACAGACGGCAGGCAGGGCATCGGACGGCGGGACAAACGGCACGGGGCGTGGCACTGTAGGAGCGGCGGTACGGCGGCACGGCGGTAACGGACGGCAGGGGGGGCGGCGGGCTAAACGGCAAGGGCGGCGCGGCACGGAGGAAGGAGCGGCACGGCAGGGAGGAGCAAGGACGGCGCGGTAACGGCAGGATCACGGATAGGCGTGGCACGGATAGGAGCGAGCGAGAGGCTAGGTGGCGGGAGGGCGAGGCGAGGGTGGCTTTTTGTAAAAACTTTTTTTAAGTTGAACCAGCGGAAATTCTTTTGTGGGAGGTGCCTGGCCTGCGCCAGGCATACGTCGCGCATGGCATGTGCGGCGGGCTCTGCCGAGGATGGGGCTGCTGCGAGGCGCGGGGCGTGGCGCAGCCGCAGGATGGGAGCGGCGAGGCGCGAGGCGAGGGCGAGGGCGAGGGCGAGCTAAGCTCGGATGGCGACTCGGACGGGGGGGAGGAGGGCGTGGACTGGCTTGCGGGAGACCCTACGTGGGGCTCGGCTGCGCTGGAGGACGAGTGGCGCGCCGCGTCTCTCGCGAGGCAGGCGGTAGGCGACGCGGCGTACGCCGCGGCGCATTCTGCTGGCGCTTCGCGGGCTGAGGCGTGCGACGCCGCCGTGAGGGCGGTGAGGTTGGACGAGGTTGAGGCTCAGTCCTCGTTCCTCGTGCGCGCTGGGTGGTACGGCTCCGGCCGTGATGGGGGCGGGGAGGGGGCGGGGGCGACGGCCGCACGGAATCGCCGCCGGCGGGGGGCGAGGGCGCGGGCGAAGGAGGAGGAGCCAGAGCCCGGGGAGGATTGGGAGGGGGAGGAGCGGCCGGAGGAGTACGCCGGCCTCTTTGACGACCCGTAAGGGGCCGTCGCCTGCTGTGCCATTTGTAGTGCCAGTCCGAGCCAGTCTGCTGTGAGAGGGGCTTGTATGGTAAAATTCTTTTTGAGAGCCTGTGTGCTGTAGGTAGGTAGGTAGTAAGGTGAAGAACAGCCAGGCTCGGACTGGACACCAACGCGGTATGGGTGGACGCTAGACAGATGATGACGACACGCACGAGCGACACACAGACACAAACAAGCTCACAAGACACACAGCCAGCTGGCTGCCACACACCCTGAGTCGGCGTACACATAACTCAGGGCCACATCCTCCCTGTCGCCCCCCCCAGCACTCCACGGTGCCAAGGGCACAAACAAGGGCACAACTCAAACAACAGACGACAGGAAGTGATGTGTGAGGCTAGAGCAGCATGCTCCACCTCTAGCAATCTCTCCGGCCGGCGAGGCACGGACGAGACCGTGTGTGGGGTCTAAGTGAGGTGTCTATGGACGCGCTCCTCATGGGCTAGCTGCCTGCAGCTAGCCCTATCTCGCACTCACGGACAGTGACAATTCAATGGGTGAGTGTTTGCGAGCAGAGGCGCGTGGGCTAAATCTAGGCCGCACGTCGTGGCACTATGACGAAGTAGACGTGCGGCCGCAGCGCGCCCGCCGCAGGCTCGGCGGTGCGCGCGTGTTAGCGACAAAGTTGCGGGTGGAGCCATGCCCGACTTTTCGAAGGTGAGGCCTCTGCGACGAGTGCCAGCCGCGCTGCGGAGCCACGCCCTTCGAGCCGCGTCCCGTCAGCACTGTCCCCGAGTGGTCCCGCCTCAGCGGCACACACTCTCGACCAGGACAGTCCCGCCAACGGAAACGTGTCGCGCGCCGGCGACGATTGCGGCGTGGTCGTTTTGAAGCAAAGATGGCACGACCACCGCCCTGCTTCGCACACCGGGCAAGGAGGGGGCTGCTCCCGTTCCGCGAGGAACAGGAGGTTTCCCCCCCTCCCCCGGCCTGAGCAGCGGCGGATGGAAGGCAGCCCCTTGAGTCGAGGGCGGCGCGACCATTGCTGCTCTCCAATGACCAGAGGCCCGGTAACTGCAGATGGTCGCGCCGCCCCGCTCCGCCCCGCCCGCCGCCGCGCCGCGCCGCCGCCTCGCGCAGCCGCCGCGCCGCGCCCCGCCCGATGATTAATAATTAAGATTACCCGGAATACGGTACGCAATTAAGGAATTAATGAGTGAATTAATCAATTAAGTGAGCGCCCTCGCGTCACCGAGCAGCAGCAGCTAAAGAAAGAAAGAAAGAAAACACACAACCCAAGGGAGGGATGGGAGAACGGCACGCCGCCACCACACAGGGATTTTAAGGAGAGGAGTGTGGAGCGCTAGCCGTCGCCCACCCTGGGGAGTCTGCCTCTTCGTATCTCTTTTCGCAGTCTCTCGCCGCTTCTCGCTGCAACCTTCATGCCACCTCGCGGCCGTCCCACTCTCGTCGGTCTCTCCCTTGTCACTTCCTCCTCTGTCGCGTCGTTCTCTTCTGCCTGCTGCTGTGAGAGAGAGTTGGGTTGTTTAAATTCTTTTTGAGAGCGCCATCGTTAGCCACTCACCGGACACCATGAGCGTGCTTGCCACGCCGTTCTTCCTGCTCACGTCGCTCCGAGCACCGGCGCCTCGCATGGGAGCTCCCGGCTACTGGCACGCCAGGCGCGACGCGCTCGTGCGAGAATTGACGAGGCGCGAGCTCGAGCTCGAGGAACTCGAGGTGCGGCTGGACACCAGAGAGAGGCTGCCAGCGGCCCGGCCCGCACTGTCACCAACCGACACCGCTGCCAAATCGAATCTTCCGCCGCATAATCACCGCCGCCGCCGCCGCCGCCGCCGCCGCCGCTGCCGCCACTACGCTGCAACCCGCAACCCGCCGCCGCCGCCGCCGCCGCCTCTCCCGCTGCTGACTGGAATGCCGCCCGCGGCCAGGCGCGCGAGTCGGCGGTGATGCCGATGCTCGCAGCGGCGGCCGAGTCGCGCGAGAAGACCTCCTACGCGATGGGACTCGCCGCCGAGGCCCGCGCCGCGCAGGTGCGCCGAGATGAGCCGAGATGCGCCGAGATGCGCCGAGATGAGCCGAGATGCGCCGAGATGAGCCGAGATGCGCCGAGATGAGCCGAGATGAGGGGAGAGAGATGACGAGAGATGCCGAGATGGCCCGAGCGGTGAGCAAGCCGCGCCTCCTCCGCGGAGATTTCTCGGACCCTACTCGATCTTCCGCCTGAGAAGTTTCCCGGACCCTCCCTCAAGCCACTGCCTTGTACGTATTCTGCTACACGTGAGCGCTAGCGAGCGCCCAGGGAACCGATGCCGCGCAAACAACCGGGAAGCTCACAGCCGAGCTCACCCAGAGAACTCCCTCCTCACCCATTAGGCCCTCGCAGAGCAAGCGCTCGCCGCCGCCAACGGCGCGCTCGCCAACGGCGCGCTCGCCGCGGCCGCTCCGTCGCCGTCCTTGGTGAAGGCGGAGGCGGAGGCGGAGGCGGAGGCGGCGGAGGCGGAGGCGGAGGCGGCGGAGGCGGAGGCGGCGGAGGCGGAGGAGGAGAACGAGTGTGTCGAGGCGGCGTGGCGGGCGCGGCTCGAGGAGGCGCTGGAGGAGGCGGCGATGACCAGTTAATGGTTAATGATTGATAATTAATAGGCGCGGCTCGAGGAGGCGCTGGAGGAGGCGGCGGCGGAGCGCGAGGCGGACGTGCAGCGGGTGGCGGCCTTCTAATTAACACTAATTAACACTAATTAACACTAATTAAAGGCGGACGTGCAGCGGGTGTCGGCTTTCTGGATCGAGAGGCTGGGCGAGGCGAGGCGAGGCGGCGCAGGCGGCGGTGGCGCAGGCGGCGGCGGCGGCGACGGCGGCGGCGACGGCGGAGGCGGCGGCGCGGGAGGAGGAGCACACAGGGGGCAGACAGCACAGCTCGACGGAGGCGGCGGCGGCGGCGGCGGCGGCGTCGGTGAGTCGGCGCTGGAGGCGGAGCTGATGGCGCTTGAGGCGGACCACGACGCGATGCTCGACCAATGAACACTAATTAACACTGATTAACACTGATTAGCACTAATTGATTCATTGAGGCGGACTACGACGCGATGCTCGACCAATTAACACTAATTAACACTAATTAACACTGATTAGCACTAATTGATTCATTGAGGCGGACTACGACGCGATGCTCGACCAAGCCGAGGTGATGCGCGAGACGATCGGAGCCGCTACCGAGCGAGTCGAGGCGGTGATGGATGAGCTCGATGAGGAGCGTCGCGCGCGCGCGCGCGCACACACACACACACACGCACACACACACACACACACACACACCGCTCACCCACGCGCACTGGGCCTTGCGCTTTGAATGCCGTGGGGCTCCTGTCGTTAGACGTGGAGACGCGAGGGTCGCCCCCCCTTGCCCCACCACCTCGTGTGTGTGGAGAAGCTCACCTTCCCTTCCCTTCCCTTAGGAGCGTCGTCGCGGAGAGCTGAACGTGCAAAAGGTCCTCGCCTTCATGCTGCCGCGCGTGGACGCTGCACGGGCGGCCGGCGAGGAGGCGGGCGCGCGCAAGGCTGAGGCGGCGCTGCTGCAGGCGGAGGCGAGGCGGGAGGTGGAGGTGCAGCGTACGGCGGCCTTCTGGCTCGCGCGCGTGGCGGCGCTCGAGGAGGAGGCGGCGGCGCTGCGAGGCGGCGGCGGCGGCGGAGGCAAGAAGGGCAAGAAGAAGGGCAATGGCGGCGCCTAGTGGCAGGGCGGCCAGCAAGGGAGTGCCGCGCTGGCGTCAGTGTGTGTCCCTGTTCAACTTTCCCAGTTGAGTGCACCGGGCGGCGGGCGCGCTTGCTCCTCGTAGTTCCGCTCTGGCTAGTTCCAATTCACTCTGACACGCTATCGCTAATCTTGAAAACGCGTCACGGTTACGGGTTACACGGAACTGCGCACTATGTCAAAACTACTTTACGGGGGTAGGCAACGAGATGAAACGGAGCTTTGCGCCCTTTCCCACACTAGAGGGTGACCTTGTCCGGGGCCGGCGGGCTTGACGCGCCCTCGGCCCCTCCCTCGGCGGCGGGGGGGAAGCTATCAGTCCTCTGGAAGGCATCGCGCGCGGCCTTTGCCTTGCGGTGGCCGCCCGACAGTTCATGGTACTCCAGCTGTGCCACTGTGAAATGGAACTAGCCGCACAACTCCGTTGATCTCCATACGCGCGCAACTGCCGTTGTTCGAGTAGCGCCTCTTCACGACCACCAGCACGCTGTGAAATCGATTAGTCCCAACAACCGTTTTTATTCCTTCAGGATTGAAGATCCCTCACACCAAGATCGTGAGGAGAGGAGAAGGGGCGAATATGGGATGAGACGGCTAGCAGTGTGGTGGCGGCCGCGAGAGCATCTACCGCAAAGTGTCGCATGCGAGGGTCAACCGTAACGTATTTTCACCCCTCGAGCGCCCCGATCGCCTCCGTCACCGCGGCCACGAGCCGCGAGGCCTCCCCCTCGCTGCGCGGCCCATCCCTCCTCCACCTCGCCGCGTCGTGGTGCCTCGCCGCGTTCGCCCAGATGCGCAGCGAGTGCAGCTGGCTCCGCAGCTCTGTCGGCAGGCCGCACTCGCGGTGCCAAAAGTTGATGCGCTCCTCGAAGCCGTCGGGCGCCGCCGCAGAGCGCGAGGCGTACGCGGCGTCGAGGCGCGGCATCAGCGTGTTGAAGGCGAGCAGCATGTTGCCCTGGATGCGCGCCTGCGCGTCGCCGGACGTGCGCATGCCGCGCACCTGCACCGAGAGCGGCGAAGGCTCGTAGCCGGTGGTGCGGGCGGCGGTGGCGGCCTCGTCTCCAAGTGCCGGCGCAGCCTCCTCCATCCCCGCCCCGCGCTGCGAGCCAGAGAGCAGCGCCTGCAAAGTCGCGAGAGCCTCGGGCAGCGTGGGCCGCTTGCGCAGGCTCTCGTGGCAGAGGCTCTTCCCATCCGCCTTGGCGAGGTCCTTGACAGCGCGCGCCGCAGGTTCAGGCCACCCCGCCGCCGCGTCTGCGATCCTCGTCACGTCGATGTCAGTCCAGTCCTCCTCGAACTCGTCCTCGCACCGGTCGGTGAGCTGCACCTCGGAACGGTTGGTGAGGCAAACGAGGAGAGTGATGCCGATGGCGTAGCCGTCCGTCTTGCTCGAGTACTCGCCCCCCTTGATGATGGAGGGGCAGAGGTAGCCCGTGGTCATGTAAAGGGCGGCAGTCGAGCGGCAGCGGACAGACGCGTCCGGGCGCTGGTCCTTGGCAAAACCCGTGTCGGCGAGCACGGCCGTCAGCTTCTCGTCGAGCAGGATGTTGTCCGGCTTGACGTCGCGGTGCACGATGCCCTTCGAGTGGAGGTAGACGAGCGCCTCGGTCGCCTCGCACGCAACCCGCACGCGCTGCCGCCACGTCAGCGGCCTCGGCGGCTCTTCCATGCCCAGCCGCCGGAGCTGCGCCGCGCAGTCGGGATCCGAGATACGCAGTCGCGCCTCGAGCGAGCCGCCGCGCATCAGCGGCGAGAGGAGGCAGACGCCGTCGGGCGAGAGGCAGTAGCCGAGCAGCGGCAGCAGGTGCGGGTGGCTCACCGCCTTGAGAAGCTTCACCTCGAGCTCCGCCCGAGACAAGCCGCCCGACTGGCCCGACTTTGCCCGCTTGACGACGAGCGGCAAGTGGCGCAGCTGCGGAGGCGCGGCGAGGGAGAGGTGGAGGTCGGCCGACGCCTCGTAGACGTGGCTGAAGCCGCCGCTGCCAATCAGCTTGCCCTCTGCAAACCCGTCGGTAGCCGCGGTGAGGTCCGACAGGGCTATCTCGACGGGCCGAGCAACAGCCACCTCCGCCGCGGCCGGCTCGGTGACAGACAGCTCTTCCAGCCGCGACTCCGCCGCGCTCACCTCCTCGGCCAAGGCAGGCAGCACTCCCACGTGCGGCCTGGCGGCGGCGATGCCCGCTCGGAGCGCAGAGGGGCTGTCCGCGGTGTCGAGCGACTTGAGCGCGCCCATCGCCGCGCCATGCGCCTTGCGCAGCCGCTGGCTGTCCCGCCTCCGCGCCTCCTTGAGCTTGTCGCGCGCGCGCCTCTCCTCGAGCGCCGCCGCAAGCTCCGCCTCCGCCGCCGCCGCCACCACCTCCTCCTCCCCCTCTTCCGCCGGCGCCTCGGCCTCTTGCGACGGCCCAGCGCCGCCCCCGCCGCCCTGCTTCTTCTTCTTGCCCCTCTTCTTGGCCTTCTTCTTCTCCTCGGCGCACTTCTCCACCTCCTCCTCCGCCAGCAGCGCCGCCGCAGCCTCCTCGGCCGCCCTCTCGGCCTCCACCCTCTCGGCCGCCGCCCTCTCGGCCACTGCCCTCTCCACCTTCGCCTCAATCTCCGCTCTCTTCGCCTCCCTCGCCGCCGCCTCAAAGGCGCGCTCGCACTCGGTGTGGCCCTTCTCCTTGGCCAGCTGCAGCGCCGTATGCCCGTCAGAGGTGCTCGCCGCTGTGTTAGCGCCCGCCCGCAGCAAGCAGAGCACGACAGCGGAGAGGCCCTCCAGGCACGCGATGTGCAGCGGCGTGGCGCCAGTCTGCTTGGCTTGGTTGACCACCGCGTCGGCGCCGAGGAGCAGCTGGACGCACTCGAGCTGGCCGTTCTGGCACGCGATGTACAGCGGCGTGGCGCCGTTGTTCTTGGCTTTGTCAACCACCGCGCTGGCCTTGAGGAGCAGCTGGGCGCACTCGAGGTGGCCCTCTTGGCATGCGGCGTACAGCGGCGTGATGCCGTCAGTGTCTGCTTGGTTCACCGCAGCTCCCGCGGTGATCATCAGACGGACGCAGTCGATCTGGCCAGCCTGGCTCGCAGCGCTCAGCGGCGTGGTGCCGTCATCCTTGGCTTGGTCGACCGCCGCGCCGGCGCCGAGAAGCAGCCGGGCGCACTCGAGGTAGACCTTCTGGCACGCGATGTACAGCGGTGTGGCGCCGTCGTCCCTGGCTTGGTCGACCGCCGCGCCGGCCTCGAGAAGCAGCTGGATGCACTCGAGGTGGCCCTCCTGGCAAGCGATGAACAGCGGCGCGGCGCCGTCTCCCGTGGCTTGGTTGACCGCCGCGTCGGCGCCGAGGAGCAGCTGGGCGCACTCGAGCTGAAATTTCTGGCACGCAATGTGCAGCGGCGTGAAGCCGTTCTCCTCGGCTTGGTCGACCGCCGCGCGAGCCTTGACAAGCAGCTGGGCGATCTCGAGGTGGCCCTTCTCACACGCGACGTACAGTGGCGTGGCGCCATTCTCCTCGGCTTGGTTGACTGCCGCACGCGCCTCGAGAAGCAGCTCCCGGGCGCACTCGAGGTGGCCCTCGTCGCACGCGACGAGCAGCGGCGTGATGCCGTCAGTGTCTGCTTGGTTCACCGCAGCGCCCGCGGTGATCATCAGACGGACGCAGTCGATCTGGCCAGCCTGGCTCGCAGCGCTCAGCGGCGTGGTGCCGTCATCCTTGGCTTGGTCGACCGCCGCGCCGGCCTCGAGGAGCAGCTGGGCGCACTCGAGGTGGCCGTTCTGGCACGCGATGTACAGCGGCGTGACGCCGTTGACGTTGGCTTGGTTGGCCGCCGCGCCAGCCTCGAGGAGCAGCTGGGCGCACTCGAGCTGGCCCTCCTGGCACGCGATGTACAGCGGCGTGCCGCCGCTGTTCTTGGCTTGGTTGACCGCCGCGCTGGCGCCGAGAAGCAGCCGCACGCACTCGAGCTGGCCCTTCTGGCACGCGATGAACAGCGGCGTGGCGCCGTCACCCTTGGCTTGGTCGGCGTCAGCGCTGGCGCCGAGAAGCAGCCGAACGCACTCGAGCTGGCCCTTCTCGCACGCGACGAACAGCGCGGAGGAGCCACGGCCCGTCGTCGCCCCCACGCTCGCGCCGCTCTCAATCAGCAGCCGCACGGCATCGGCCTGCCCGCGCTCAGCGGCGATAGTCAGCAGCGTGAAGTGGTTCTCGGCCTCGAGCCGCGCGTCGAGCAGGGCCGTGAGCGCCGCACCGCGCGTCCACCCGGCGAGGAGGGCGCGCAGCAACGTCAGGTTGCCCTTGGCCAGCTCGGCGAGCACGGTCGGGCTGATGGCGCCGCTCATGGCGGCAGCGAAAGAATTTAAACAAAACAAGTACTAGTACGCTCGGGAGCCGGAGTGGCGGGGTCGGAGCTGCTGCAACGGCGCGAGTGGCCGCGAGGGGTCGTGCTGGGGCTCGCCAGAGAACGAGGCCACGGCGCGGCGCTCGCGGCGGCGCATGGGGCAGCTTTGAGCAGTGCAGCGCCTCAACATCAGCTTCAAGCAGTGCAGCGCAACGCCAGTGGCCTCTCTGGAGCTGCGCGGCGGCTGGCGGGCCTGTGCGACGGCGCCGATCCGTGGGCTCGGGACGCGCAGTCGGCTCGCGTGCCGGTTGCCGAGTCAGCCTGGCTGGCGAGAAGCGCCAAGGCCTTCCCTGCATTCTGGGCGCTGCCCAGAAGTGCGCAGTGCCTTTGCTGCGCCGACGGGCGGCCTCGATGCGGATCGCCGCGAGGGGCGTGGGAGCCTCCAGTGGCACGGTCGTTGGTCAACACCGCGGCGCGCGCGCGCCGCGGGTGCTGCACAACAAGCGGAGGGCATGGGCGGGCGCTCTATCGCTTTCCGGAGCCCAACTTTGACTATCGATTGCCGACGGTTATTATAACCGATGGGATATCGTTCCGGCAGACGGAGGGATTCAACGCGGCGATAACTGCCCGAGACGTCCCTAACCTTTATTTATTTCTGCCCTGCTTCAGGAACCGGAGGCCGTCTTCCTCAACCAACCAAACCTCATTACCGACTGCCGGTCGTTGGGGACACGTGACTCCTGCAAAGGGCAGTGTCTCCACCCGGGAGTCGGACATTCCAAACCCCCCCCTGCCCCCTCTCTCCCCCCCCCCCATCCTAGCCCTCTTTCTCTCTCCTCCTCTTTCTTTCTCTCCTTCTCCCTCATTCCCCCCCCCTCCCCCCTCTCCATCTTTGCCGCCCCCGGGCGAGACGAGGGAGGGAGCAGGACGTTGCGGAGATCAGCAGGAGGATGTACGAAGAGATTAGGAGCAGCAGGGACCCGAGGGACCATGTGGAAGACGGCTAGTGCTAGTCCCCTGAAAGAAATAAGCGACAAAGTAGAACCCATGGGGACGATTGATTACTACGGCAGACTACGACTGAGCAGGCGAGTGAATGAAGAACTAAGGAGAGTGGGACTCGACCACCTCACCACAGAAGAGGCGACGACTCACGCACGAGAGATCAAGTTTGTCAAGGCCTCACAAGCTAGCACAACAAACACCTAAAGACTTAAAGGCATCACACTACAAGGAACGCGGCTGAGCTGACTCCCTGTAGGGGGCGCCTCGGTGAACCAGGGACTAGGATCTCGCGCAGACGACACAGGGCGTGCTGCGCCCCGCGCGATCCCTGGCGCAGAGGAGGCTGAGCCGCCGAACTTAGGATGCCTGCAAAGGCTGGCGAAAGCCAGCGAGACACGCCCACAACTCATATCCACTACAACAAGCCATTATGCCCCAATAGGCCCCACCACCCCACCCCTAGGCAATGTAGCGCACATGTCTAGTCCGGAGAGGACGGGGGGGGGGGGGGGGTGATTTTTTCTTTTTTTTTCTTTTCTTTTTTCCTTTTCTTCTCTTTCTTTTTTTGCTTTTTTTTGTTTCTCTCTTCCCTTTTTTTCTTTCTTTCTGCTCCTCTCTTTCTCCCGTCGCGCCTTTTTTCTTCTTTTCTTTTTGTCGTTTCCCCTGCCGTTTTGTTGTTTTTGTGTTCTTCCTCTTCCTCTTCCGCTTTTGTTTTTTGTGTTCTTTTCTCTCCCGCGCTCTCTTCTTTCTGTTTTTCCTTGTCTTGTTCCTCCCTCCCGTGCTGCCTTTTTTTCCTCCCTCT